GGAATGTTCAAATTATCCTGGGAGACCAGAGCTGTCAGTCACAGGGTGGTGTGCCTGTCTTCACACCCTCTCTGCTCCGGATTAGGGCTTGTACATGCTGGGGGTGGTGCTGTTCTCCATAGCACTGGCGATGGGTGGGGGGTGGAGAGGCAAGACTCCCAGAGACAAGAGCCATAATTGTTTCCTCACCCAGTTGCACAGAGAGAGAGGGAGAGGGAGGGAGAGAAGCGGGCAGCGACTGGTTTCGAAAGAAATATTTCTTCGGGGCTTCACGAACTTCCCGGGACGGAAATGCTTTCAGCAGAATCTGCCTGCCTTCACCCATCAGATCTCCCACTCTGCCAGGGTGGGCACCCACAGATCCCACGGACATGCAGACTTAAGAGTGCATGAAGAAGCGTGCAGGATCAACTCAAAAGTTCACAAGAAGCTTGCACATGCAAAAGGCTTAGAAATCTCTAAAAGCAGGAGGAATCAAGCTTTTTAATTTGGAATCAAGTCCAAATTTATTTCTGGAGACGCTCTTGGGGTCACACATAAGTGCTGGTGTGGGGGGGCACCAAAAGTACCAGGGCCAAATTACCCCAAACACCTGTGTGTGATTTTGCTCAACTTTGCTTGGGTGCGACAGCTGTTCCAGCAGGAGGGCCAGGGCTCCTCGAAGAAGTTCTCAGGAGCCACATCCCAGCAGGGCCGGGCAGAATGCAAATGGGGCATAACAACCCTCTGACATCCTATCTGAGCTTAAAGCTCTCGCTGCCAAAACAAGGCAATTTCCGCCTTTTAGAATGGGAGAGGGAACTGCACAGAAGCCGCAAAACTCCCCCCAAAATGGTAGTTGGCAGGGGCATGGTCTTCCGGGGCACTGCACAAGGCTGGTTCTGCACTCTTGATTTAAAGGGTGAACAGAAGAGCGACTGCACCTGAGGCAGACTCTCCTCCCCAAGACCTTGTTCCTTATCATTTTTAACGGACGTGATATTCATTCTTTCTTTTATATACCCCCTTATGTGATAGAAAACATCAGAAGCTGTGTTGCCTGAGCAACACAGCCCCTGGAGCTTGCCTCCTCTGATACCTGGAATGGATTTGTAAAGTCCAGAGAAGCAGAAAATCAAAGGGACCGCTGGGAGCTTTAGGACAGAGGAAAAAAGGGAGAAATTCCGCATTCATTACATACTTAAACTATGGCACTCAGGTTCACAAGATGTTCTGATGGCCACTGATTTGTACAGCTTTAAAGGGGACTAGACAAATTCTCGGTGGATAGAAGGTCCTAGTCATAATGTCTGTACAGCACCTCCAATTTCAGAGGCAGTATGCCAGTTCCTGGGGAACGTGGGCAGGAGGGAGCCTCCTGGCCAAACGACATGGTCCTTTGGTCTGATCCAGCGTGGTTCTTCTTCATCAGGACAAAGACTCCCTGATCCCCACATTCGCACTGGCAGCATAGGTCTCGTTCATTCAGAGAGAGCAAGTTGCTCAGTTACGGACGAGCATGGACTTATCCCTCCTCTCTCTGCTTCGTTTTGCTTCCTCCATCGCAACCCAGCCTCGTTCAATAATCTGCCCAGTCACACAGTTGCAAGTGGAAGGCAGGGGCCTGATTTCAGCTCAGCATCTCAGAACAAACCCTCCTCAGTGTGTGAGGACCCCTTCCCGCACCCACTCCAGCACGCCTCGCCACCAATCAAATCCACAGCCGGATGGGGTGGGTGGGTGGTTGGGGAAGCGACGCACACGCAGATCTCCGCTCACGAAAGCCCCTTGAGCCATAGAGATGCCTTTCATGAGAAGATAAGAAAGTTGACTTTGTCTCAGGGACAATGTTGCTTTTCACACGGGGCCCCACAGATCGGCTTCCCCTCGACACCCTCTGCCGGCGGCCAGCCCGGTCTTCTCCACGCTGCATTAATTCTGAGGGCACATATCAGGACCAAAACAGATGCTGATGTGGGAGAGCCACATCTGGATGTCTCTTTTGTGGGAGGGGCACTCGAAAACAGTTGCTGGGGGAGGTTTCCACTGTGCCTGGAACGTGGGGCTGGACTGGGGGCTGGCCCCTTCCCCAGTTTGAACTGTGCAATGCTGAAGCCGCTGTTGGTTCTTCTAACTGGAATAAAGGCGAGTTGCAAGGGGAGGGGTGCACTGCTCTCTTTGGGGTGCTGTCCTACATGTACCTCGCTTGAGCTCTGAGGCTGTGGCTAATTTGAACAATCACTCTGGCAGAAGTTGTCAGAGGTACCCTCTCGGGTAGGGGAGTGAGTATGATGGGGGTTACATTGCATTTTTATCTACATTTATTTTTCCCTCTTGTCAGAAACCCAAGGGCACTTGCACAGCTCCGTTTTATCCTCAGAGCAACACTCCTGTGAGGCAGGCTGGGCTGAGAGGGTGCGACCGGCCCAAAGCCGCCCAGTGGGCCCCATGGCCAAGTGGGGACTAGGACCCAGATCGCCCAGGCCCCAGCCCCACACTGTCTCCACTGCCCACACTGGGTCTGGGGGTGCCCTGAATCTTTCAGAGCTGATTCATGCCCCATGGGACTTAGGTTCTGGATTCTGACGGAGAGAGATGAACACCTGAGAGAGGTGAACAGTGTGACTTAGTGGTTAGTGTGTCAGACTAGGACACGGAAGATCCATGTCCTTAGGTCGCTGGGAGACCTTGGGCTGATTATGTTTCTCTCTGCCTGACCTTCCTTATAGGGTTGCTAAAAGCCTGGAAGAGGAGGCCATCAACTTGGCCCTGGATGAGTGAGCTCTCTCTGAGGTGGCCTTTCAAATGATGACATGCCTATATCTGCATCATCTCCTGTGCATATATAGAAAATGCTCTGGGAGAAGGCCATGCTCATTCTCTATGCAAAAGGATCTACATATTTGTTTATTTACAGGGAGTTTCTGCCTACCCACCCAGAAACTGACATGTCTGATGAAGTGCCTCTCCCAACCACACTCTGAGAACCACCATGCGGGTTCTCAATGGAGCCACTTCCAGCCCATTCCATTCTGCAGATGATCTCACAGTCTAGCTGTGGGCTGAAGGCAGAAGTGATGAGACCAAAGTGCAAGAGCATCCAGAATATTTCAGCTTCCTCCAATATTTTAGGGGCTGGAGGTTCTTCATCCCTATTCAAGACGAACATCTGTCTTGCTGGAATTCCTGTTTCTCTCCATTCATGCACTGTCTATTTATAAAAATGCAGTGATCTGAAAGACATTACTAGTCTCTTGTCCAAAGGAGTGTTAACCTATTTTACTTTACTTCATCCTAATAAAGGTACAGCTTGTTTTTAATTTACTGTTGTTTCCCTGGCTGGAAAGACATGTGATACCATCCAAGGTTAGTCCTACATAGACTAGACCCACTGAAATGAATGGGAACTACAGTATCATTTATTTTAGTGGGTCTAATCTATGTAGGACCGACACTGGATACTACCCATGGTATATAAATGAGCTACAGATACAACTGAGAGCCAGTGTGGCGTAGAGATTAAGAGCATGGGACTGGGACTCAGACGATGTGGGTTCTAGGCCCAGCTCAACCATGGAGCCAACTGGGTGACTTTGGGCCAGTCACAGGCTCTCAGCTCAACCTACCTCACAGGGCTGTTGTGGGGATAAGACCAAGGGCAGGAGGAGGAGAATTATATAAGCCACTTCAAGTACTTTAAAATAAAAAGGCAGGATATAAAGCTAACAAACAAGCAAACAACCTCTGTCCCTCTGGGCATCAAAACTTGGATCAAGCATCCCCTTCAACCATGCAAAAGTAAAAAGTTTAAAAGAGCTCTTCTACCCGAAGGGTAATTTTTATCTGATTTTCTATTTGTGCAGCTGCATATTTATGTAATAGCTCACTTCTAAAATATCCTTGCGGTGCAATTGAAAAGTTTATTTTTAAAAGGTAACAACAGTATTTTTATACTTGTTCAAAACCTGGGATTGTATTCATTTTAATTATCTCATATATATCTTTGTTTTTCTTCCCCAATTTCTGTCCATGTACGAAATCTGTTCCTGTATTCCAAAATCCAGCTGGATTCCATCCACAGCAAAGCAAATGAATTGCTGAAATATCTAAAAAAATACAGCATAGAATTGGACGGGAGATCATTTAGCCCCCAAAATAAACAAACACCCCTGACTTTGATTCCTGATTTCCATTTCATATCCAACGCAGCCTGAATAAAGCGCCCAGCTCTGTGTCCCAAAATAAGCTAAGTTCCACCTCGAGTCATTTACTCGCAACAACAGAAGAGCACAATGCAACAACCTGATACAGTTGCAGCCACAGGGTGCTGTGATACACATTGGTGATACACAATGTGATACGCAAAGGCATGGAACGGCATACTGCTATGTCAAGCAATCAGCTGAGAACCTAGAAATGTTGCATATATGGAAAAACACAGTTGCTTGAAAACGTGGGCTCGAATGCATTCTTCTTTGCTTTAGCAAGTTCCAAATGGCTGGTCTATTACAGAAAAAAGTAATGACACATACTCTGGCAAAAACATCACAGCAACAGGTAAACCCTATACACTTTAATTAGAAGAAGGTTTCTGTTATCAGCAGAAAGAGTAACTGAGCAGGGCCAATAGCGATGGTGGCTGCCGCCGACAGAATTCTCTGCATTCAATTTCCTTCTGACCTCACTGTTTACAGTCCCCAACACCATCACCAGCCCATGCACTTTATAGGAATATAAAACTCCTGCATCTGATGACACGGCCATTGCCAACTAAATGTGTTAACCTCTACGGTGCCACAAAACTCATTCTTGCTTTTACACTATCAACAATCCCAAATTTAAACGCACCACTTGCCCTGCCCCGGTCCCCCTCGGGTACCTCTCCAAATCTCACAGGGCCCATCAGATGTTCCTTTCCCATCCCACCTGATTCTGCTGCAGCTTTGCTGGCCAACAGAGCAACAGAGCTCCTAGGAGCCCAGAACTGGCCCGAGTGTGCAATGGCGGACATCAGTACTTACAGTTTCTCTAGAGCGAGCAGTCCAAAGAAAGAGCCATTTTTCAAGGTTGGTATCTTGTTGTTGCTCAAAAGCCTGGTTGGGGGTGGGGGGGGGGGAGAAAGAGAGAATGATAGAGAGTTACTCATGATGCCTTAACCAAGCAGCCAGCACTTAAAAGGGCTAGGCTAGGTATGCAGGTATGCAGTCCTCAGTCGATTCATTTGCCACACCCAGATTGCTCTGGAGTGGGGGAGAGTAGACAATGCCCCCCTCAAGTCCTAAAATAAAGCTAGTATGGGCCAGCTCAGCCCAGCTGTTCCTCTGAAATTCCTTCGCATACAAAGGTATGCTGCTCAGCCGCCTACTACATATATGCTGCCTGATTTCTGAGGGGTTTCTCTGGCCCTTACTGTGTTTGCTTCTATATCAGCTCGTGCCAAAGTTAGAGGTTAAAGATGGGGAGCCAAGGCTGAGGGGCAGCAGTTGGTCTAAAGCCAACACACGAAGGCACAGCAGAGAAGAGAGGTCTTCTTCACACTGGGCAGTGTTCCCACCACATGTTCACATTCCCCATGCAATGCTTTCCTCAGACCCATCACAAAGGACAGTACTGCCGAGTATACACCGAGATTCCGCCAAGAGCAACTACTCATGCTGGTTAACACACCGCTGCCAAGTGGGGGAAGGCTGGTTTGCAGCCAGAATAGCTCCATGATCAACTTCACCGGGAACTGTCCTTTATTTATTATTTATTTATTTAGGAAACTTCTATGCTGCCCCATTCGTCGAAGCCTCACCTGGATGCCTGGTCTGTACTCTGCTTACACAGAGAACAATAAGAAAGATGAGAAGAACCCTGAGAGTTGCCTTCCAGCCACCTCTGGATGATACTGGCTGGCCAGCCAAGAGGTACGCGTAAAGCCCAGGTAGAGGAAGAGGGGTACGTTATCCCTGGGATGAACACACACACACATTCTGAAGGCACTGGGCAGCCTGCAGCCACAGAAGGATCCAGGGCTAGGGAGGGCCATTCGGGATTTTCTAGCAGGTCTTCTGCCTAAAGAACAAGCATCCTCCTGGTGAAAGACAGGTGGATGGAAACATCTCTTCAAAGGCCTTCCTCAATGTAGAATTGTAGCTCAGTGGAGACAGGAGGGGGGACCTTGGTGGACATCTTTAGTTTGGGTAGGCAGGTCCCTAGTTTCAGGCACAAGCACTAGAAGAGGGATACCAAAAGTGTGCACCAACAAGTTGCATCTAAAGTCCAATAGTGCCAGAATGTGACTTCTTCCTAAACTTGTTCCCCGGCCAGAAAGGAGTTTAGCATCCCTGACACTTCCAGTCCAGAGTGTCTTGTGCGCAGCAAGGGGAAATACTGTTATCTTTGTTTCATTCATCACCCCAGTGGGTACAGAAGAATAGGGATTGAAAGTGACAGCCATCCCCGCAGCCCACCCCAGCATCAAATGTTCTAAGGTATTTTAGACCCTTCCACGGCACTGGTCCTCAGGATCTTTAGATACAAGTTTGCCCTCAAAGCTTCCAAGCCGGGATCTTTTATTGAGCTGCCTGCCAAACTGTTTGGCTCAGACTTACTGCTGGGACTCATTCTCGGCCAATTGAGTCCCTTTATCCTGCCTATGCACAGTTCAAATATGCCCCCCGGCCGAGTCAAGGTTCTTGGCAGCACCAGAGCTGTGGGCTTTTTCAGGCCTCTTTATCCCAAAGTAAACAGTTTTAGCTGACCACAAAAGAGGCCCTCCTTTTGGCCTTGGACCAACAAGCAGGAAGTTAGCCATTCTGAAAGGAGAGGGAGAAAGGACAAGCACACCACCTCTATTCTCCCATGCGCTCATTAAAATCTTTCTCAATGAGCAATTAGCGCTCACAGACACCAGCTTGCTGCATTAGGGCCACCAGCCACCCAGAGCTTTTGACAGCTCGCACTCACGAGCCACTTCAGACATTCCCTTCCATCAAGGGGCTCCTCTCTCAATAGATGCTCAGCGGCTACTGTCACAATGTGGTGGGCCCAACAAGCCACTGTGTCGCTTTACAAGGAGACGCCCTCCCCTTTTGGGCCACCCAATGGGGAGCCCGCCATTTCTTCCATCCACTCCACTCCCCTTCCGTGTCTGTGCACCTCTCTTGTATCATTCGTCAAACTGTCTTTTTCTAGGAAAAGTGCTGTATCTTTTGACAAATCAGTGTTCCATCTGTTAGCAATGCTGAAGCGTGAGTGCCAACCCATGTACAGCAAAATCAGAACCACCCGTGCATAACAAGGGGTGGGAGCACAAGGAGAATAAAAGAGTTTTTATGAGGGAACCCCTAGAACTGAAAGTGGCACACTAAGGACTCTGAACATGCTCAAGGGCTACAAAGTGCTGATTATTCTGATGGGCTGTAAGATGCTAACCTAGAAAAGTGGAGGAATGGAATGGAGTATTCTTGGAGAGGAAACATCTGAGTGTCCGGTTGGTAACCTGACCAGGGCTGTGCAGTGCTGTAACATTTTGTTGCAGGTCCCACTTATATTGTTTGTTCAGCTGATGGGCACTGCAGTGCGAGCTTTCTTCAGAGGCTGTGGGATTAACCACCTCCTGGAGCTGGGCAGAGGTGGGATCCTGATCTTTCCAAACAACTTGCTTGCTGCTTCTCTGCAGGGTAAGCAGGCTACTGGCAGCAGTGCTGAGAGACGGAGATGTGTGAGCAAGCGGTGGCAAGAAGAAAGGCTTGTCGCAGGAGGGGCCCATGTAGGGGGTCTTACTAAAGCACATGCTGGACACCCGGCACCACCACTGCAACTGGTTTCATTATGTCTTAACTAGGGCACGATGTTTTGTATAGTTAGATTCCCTGCAAGGAACTCAGAGCAGCTTACAAAATCCTTCTCCTCTCTCAATCTTATCTTCACAACCACCCTGTGAGGTAGGCTGGGCTGAGAGGCCATGACTGGTGCAGAGATATGCAGTGAGCCTCGAGAAAGGGTGGGGATTAGAACTTGGATCTTCCACATCCCACTGCAACACTCTAACTAGCACATTCTACTTCAAAGCAACCCCGTGTACATCTGGTCAGAAGTCAGCCCCTCTGTCTTCATCAGGCTATCTCCCAGGAAGTGTGTGCAGGACTGTAGCTTGAAAGATGGCAAACCTTGCCTGCACTGAGAGGCAGTTAAAAGGAAAAGGAAAAAAGCTTTGCTATGTAAAGAAAGACTGCAGGTGGCCCTGTGGTTTAAACCGCTGTGCTGGTCGATCGAAAGGTCGCCGGTTCGAATCTGCACAACGGGGTGAAATCCCATTGCTCTGTCCCAGCTCCTGCCAACCTTGCAGTTCGAAAGCATGCGAATGCAAGTAGATAAAAAGGTGCCACTTCGGTGGGCAGGTAACAGCGTTCCGTGCACCTTGGTGTTTATTCATGCCAGCCACATGACCACGGAGACTGTCTGTGGACAAACGCTGGCTCCCTCGGCCGGGAAACGGAGATGAGCACCGCCCCCTAGAGTCAAGCATGACTGGACGTAACGTCAAGGGGAAACCTTTACCTTTTTGTGTAAAGAAAGAAAAGGAAGTAATCGATCTGGGGTTGTACAGCCGAGGAAAAAAGTTAAAATCAAGTCCCAGCAACCCTTCTGGCTTCCTGATGTTTAAGTCCCTGACTAACAACAACAACAACAACAACAACAACAACAAGAACAAGAACAGGAGATGTCTGTGCACACAGTGGTCACTTTTAGAAGGCGCCAGTGGAATCTTTGCTTTGGGCTCACACAGAGCATTCATTCAACCTCCTTGCGGGAAAAGGCAGAAAGATAAACTTTGAATGCCAATGAGGCTTCCCCCCACCTTTTCCCCTTCCTAAATGTATTACAGTTCATACGAAACATCAACTTATCCCCCACCCAGGCTTTGTGGTGTGTGCTTTGTGTTTGCATAGTCAGAATGCCACATGCCTGAGCTCCAAGAGAAATGGCTTGGAGAACGGCGGGTGAGTCCGTAAGCCAAAGGGCACCAGGGACAGTTCTCAGCGGCCCCATAATGTACACACTGCCCACCCACGTTTGTGTTATCTGACAATCTGACAATCATTCCCTGCACTTCCTCATCCATATCATTACTAAAAATGTTGAATGAACCCTTCAATACCCCACATTTTACTTCTCCCCAGTTTGTGAAAGTGCCAATCAAAAAATGAAATCAGATTAGTCTGGCAGGATTTGTCCTTGAGAAATCCATGCTGTCTTCTAGTAATCTCTGCCCTGTTTTCAAGGTGTCTGTAGAATGCCTGCTTGATAATCTTCTCCAGAATTTTTCCAGGGACCCATCTCAGGCTGACTGGTCTGTAGTTCACAGGTTCTTCCTGCTTTCCTTTCTTGAAGATAGGGACAACAATAGCCTTCTCCAGTCATCTGGCACTTTCCCTGTCCTCCATGATTTCTCAAAAATGGTGGTTCTGAGCGTTCTTCCACCAACTCCTTTGTGACTCCAGGATGGAACTCATCAGACCCAAGAGATCTGAACTCATTCAATGCAATCAGATGATCCTTGACCATTTGCCTATCAATTTTGAGCTGCCATCTTGCTCCTTCAGCTTGAACTTTGCCTTCATCAGGGAGGTCGTCGTTTTTCTTTTCAAGAAGGTGGAGCCAATTGACCACTTCTGCCTTTTCTTTGTCATCTGTTGCGCTCTGCCTTTGGACTGGCAGTCCTAGGAGCTGCTCCGCTGGGAGCACTGGAAGTCTCTTCTTTGAGAGCAAATTTAGATTCATTGGTTATCTCCTGGCTCCATAAGGGCAGCTCAGCCTTACATATCCGTAGTATACACTTCTAAATGTGTGGCCCCATGGCAGCTGGCAGTAGGAGGTGTCTTCCCTGGCAGTAATTACAGGAATTTCCTCTCCAAACAATAGGGAAATAACCTTTAGTTTTCTCTATTTGTTCCATTAACCATTTCCTCTGGCCTCTACCCATGTGCATTCATGTGTACGTGCTCAAGGCATTACAGCATAGAGCCCTTAGTAATTACCCCCTGATATTCTCCCACTGGGCCATTCTCACTTGGGAAATCGCTCCTCCTCTTGGAGGACAATT